AACAGCGATCAGTTGAAGAACTCCCCGGTGACGCCATGTTTGCCCACTAGAGACCAAGTAAGCAAACCACCAATAATCGGGATAACTGACTGCAAAAGCTTGTACGACAATCTCATCACTCTGTCTTCGATATCAAAATGTGAAGATAAAAGAATAGCTATAGATATCGGCATAGTTCGACAGAGCATGATTAGGTGTGGTTTGAAGGTCCGTTGGGCTCCGACCGAGCTCATGATCGCAGATGGTTTGACCAAAGACCACCAAGATCCTGCCGATCTCTTACGATCAGCTCTCCACCTGGGAGAGTACCAGCTTCATGAAGAAGCCTCGGTCCTGGCACAAAAGAAGCAATTCAGAGAAGATCGCATCCGTCGTCGAGAGCACCAGCAAGAACTTGAGAAGAAGAAGCCGAAGGTCCAGAGCAGTTTCACAAATAAAAGATAACGTTGATGTCGTTCGTGGTGCAAATTTATGCATGTCGGGCAGTCAACTGTTTGTGATGCAGTTGCAATGGGGTAAGTGACACCTCAACATGTGCAGAAAAGAGTTGTCACTAAAAGGGTAGTGATGGCATTCATTCGAAACACATGTCTTGTGCCACGTTGATCAGAATTGGAGCACCATGATAGTTTTGCATTAAGTCTTTTTGAGCCGAAACCTGCAGTGTTGTTCGCATGTTTGAAGAGTACTTCTGATAGCCATTTTTGGACAGAAGGCAAGCCTGCTAGATTCGACTGTTGAGAGACACGCCATCAGAGCATGTCCAAGCCATCATCCTCCGGACCACCTCCGGTCACCGATGAAGTGTTTGCCCTGGTCAGGAGCCTCCGTGCCTCAGGTCAACTGGAAGGAATCATTTCTGCCATCGATGCTCAGGATGCACATGACATCCTTCAGGATGAGATGTGGGCTGGAATGAACGATAGCTGCAAGCGTCGCATGTCAGCGTCTCCGATCCGCACCACCCATGGCTTTGAGATGGTGGAGCCAACTGGTTCAAAGCAGTTGACCTTGAAGCAACAGCCGATTGCTCCCAAGGCTCAGTCGGCGTCCAAGGGCTATGGAAGTCAGGCAATGACTCAGCTGCCAGATGGCATCTCATCGAGTGAGGAATGGGGCCGCACCATTTGTTCGCTGCCCAAGGTGAAAGATCGAAAGCTTCGCTACCATGAATTGGTCCAGCAGTCGAAGTCTGATACAGAGCTGTCAGACTACCTGGTGTGGATCAAGAAGGCCGGCATCCGTTCCAATAAGGTTGATGACCTTCGTAGCTACATGAGCTACATCGGCCACGATCCCGAGTATGAAGCACGCAAGATCACATATCCAGGTTCGAGCATGGCAAGGGAATTTTAAGAGATTAGAGAGGAGTGTCAAAACGGCACATGGCTATGAACCCGAGGACTCTTTCGGCTTAGGTGAAAAGGTGCCTGAGATGCTGCCCCGGGTGGGGCAACCGCTTCCACATATATATAGAGAGAGAGAGAGGTACCGTAAACCTTGTTGATGGAGGAAGGAAATCCTCTCAGCAAGGGTGAAGACATCCGGGTGTCTATTTCGAAAGGCTATTGTACAGTAGGCCGCTACTAGGAGCAAAGGGCATCGCTACTGGGAGCAAGGACGCTACTAGGGGCTCCTGGCCTTACTAGTAGGAACACGAAGCTACTAGGGGCTCCTGGCCGTACTACTAGGAGCAAGGACGCTACTAGTAACAAGTGCCTTACTAGTAGTAACAAGGCTTTGAAGGCAGGCCATCGCTAGTAAGTCTTTGGAGGCTTGGACCCTTCGGCCTTTGCAGAAAACATGCCGAGTCCGCATGCCATTGGGCAGGTCAATTGCAACTCCATAGGGATTGGACAAGCCACTCCGGTAGACCCTGGCAGATCTGATTTTTGCATGTCCACTCCGTGTGCACTCCGTCATTATGCAGTTGATTGTATGAACCTATAAGATCTACAAGGAACAAGAATACAACAGGAGCCGGTGCATTGTGAGCATGTTCTTTCCAAGGGTTGCGTTCCTGCAAACAGCCGATTTTGTGACGGCTTCTTCTTTAAGTAAGACATACCTGCTTCGGATTTGCTGAGGTGCCCTGCTCTAGATCAGTACCGTTCAAAGTGCATCTCATGATGCCTCAGAGAAAGCAGCTTTAGCCTGCAATCAACCATGTTCCACTGACTACGCTTTGCATTGTATCAGGTATCTTTGCGTGTAGACTTTGGTTACACTTAGTTTACTAGTAGAAAGCAAAGCAACCGCAAAACATCTCAGGTGCCTGCGGTCGTTATGAGGTTCAGACCAATAAACTTTCATGTCTTCAACCTGCAGCACTTTCCAACCCCTTTTTTCTCAAGTGATTGCTAAAACAAGTCCATTGAAATCCATTGCATCTGAACGCAGCTTGGGACCCAAACAGTCTGCCCCAGGGTTGGTGACGTCAGCATCACCAAGGCTAGCCTGTCGTGGAGCTAGGAAAGCCGCATGTCTACAATAAGGAGTTTGCACGTTAAAATGAACAATAGCATTAATAGCATATATTAATCTATAAAACTACCGCAACTATTATTTGGATTTACAAAAACCTTTTAGTGTTCATTTTCTCCTAGTGGAAGCCCAGGGCATGTCTCGCAACTAGCCACCGTGGTGGGTATGTCTGAGACTTGGACCATTCTAGACCTTGGTGCGAGAGACGATGACCTCCGAGACATCCCTTCTGTCTTCCCGTGCGTGCCCCAGCGGTCTCAAAGGTGCCAAAATCCAAATCCACCAAAGATGAGTTGAAATTGCACGCATGCGACGCATGCTGCACAAATTCTGCATGATTGACGATGCTCTTTTCTATCTTTGGTCGACCATTCACGACATTCTCTAGAAGTTGGTACTCTGAGGTCAAGGCCAAGCATGTACGACTCACCAGTGGTTGAGGGCCCTGGAAACAACACCGTCGAGCATCCAAGTATATCCAAGTGATCCCAAGCATCCCATGCAGGTTCTGGGAGTGTTCAATGACAAAAACTGAACAACGGACCAGACCCCGGGAAATTATCCATCGCTAGTAGGTTGGAGGCCATCGCTAGTAGCTAGTAGGTTGGAAACTTCTCAGATACAAAGCGGCTGACTAGCACGAAACCAAAATACTGGATAGTTTGGAGAGGTGTCATGCCCCATTCGTTTGCCAATGCCTGAATCGACACAATCCACGTTCCACGTCAAGAATCAACAGACGTGGCCGGTGTGGCCTCGCTGCTCGACAGTGGATCTTCGAGAAGTTGGGCTGAGCCTGCACAGTGGCTGGTACTGCTCGGCAATGCTGTGGAGGTAGATGTTGTCTCAATGATGATGTGGCACTCACTGATGACCCACTTCGGTCTGTGCAAATTGATGCAAATTGAAAGACTGGCCAAGAACCAAAGATATTTCTAGGCACAGTGAGTAAGTTGACTCATACAGTCATCCGTTCCCGCTATTTCAATGCCAAATCACCATGGCAACGCTGTTTCCAAGAAGTCATCCCCCAATCACCCCTGGGCACTGATCCCAATGGAACGAGGATACCGAAACAAGATTTCTCACCAAAAAATGTACAAAAATCAATGGAACGTTAGTTCTAAAAGAGTGTGGGTGTGATTGATTTACATCCGCTTGCTGCATGTCAATCCCAACGGAACACTGTAGAAATTATATCACCAACTTCAGTCACATCAGGTGACTCGAAAAGAGCTAATCCGCGAGTAGTGCCCCGATGCAATCGGGTCACATCAGGGTCCTGTTTACAAGGTTACAGGTTACAGCTTGTCTACCGATTGAGGTAACGTGCGGGCCTTGTATCAGATAATTCCAACTACAGTGTGGAAGCAAGCAGTAGCAGCAGCACACAAGCAGCATGCAGCAGCACACAAGCAGCAGCATACATGCAGCAGCAAGCACGCAGCAGCACAGGAGGATGGTGGTTCTGGGCGAGATCCGGGCGAGGTCCAAAACTGCACACCTCAGACGTAACTATGCCAAGCCTAGAGCGCGCACTACCACAGACATCTGGCAGCAACCCTGCAACGGGGCACCTCTTCCTGTACTGGGAGTGAGAACCCCACTAGCTCTCCCAATAGCTCTCGGTATCTTGGCATAATCTGTCCAAATCCACAACTGTTCAGCAGGCCTGTGCGCCCAACCTCTCCCCACTGTTTTGCAATGCTAAGGCTGTGGTGTGTTGCTGCTTCTTGCGTTCAGCTAGTGTTTTGAATGTGGTGCTGACTAAGACTACACAGACCTGACATGAACCCCTTTTGGGTTGCCAGTACCGCATTAAAGTACCTTTCGATGAGAGCCCCAGCATACAACCTAAAAGTAGGCCCCTGTCCAACCAACAGAGTTAGCTTGTGTTTGGGAAAAAGAGATGACCTTCCGCAGAGCCTTCCTCCCAAGGGTAGCAATACCTCAAAAAAAAGTGACGACATTGTCTTTTGCCTATAGAAATGTGTGTTGTTGATGCTGTCATCATCCCAAGGGAGATCCACGCTTCTTTGCCCGCCAGTCTTCCCCGGTTGCCTGCTACAAAGGACACATTCACCTAGCACCAGGTCGTTGCCAAAAGATCAAGCACGTGCTTGCAGAGCTGGCCATTTGCCATAAATAATTCGATAAATTGCCTTTGCCAATAGCTTGAAAGTCAGACAAGTCGGACTGGTTCATTTTGAGAAACTGCGTGTACTGCCCGCCTCAATACCGGTGCTGGCCGGAGTGCCGGGCCAGCAAACCAGCTATCCCAAAAAAATGGCTGCGCTCAAGCGCTTAGAACAAGCAACATCAGTCAACGTGATAGTCCTGTTAAACAGTCGGGCAAATATCCAGCTCTCGACTCATGCCTTACTAATGGATGCTAAATTGACTACATCTGCACCTCATCATGTCCACACCTTTTAGGTCCAGATCTTGGGCTTTGTGGTCCGAATGATTCCGAATGACCGTAGGAGAATGTCTTACCAACCCACCAGTGACCCCTCCTCCGTGCTCCAGGTGCAGAAGTCGGGAAGACCAATTCGTGCCAAAGCCTTCGATTGAGGTAGGATTGACTGTGGAGTCTAGAAAAGAAACAATATGAAACATGATCATTTTAACAAGAGATGAAGTCAACGTGGTGGCAGCAGTCGCAGTAGTGTAGCTACAATTGGTGTTGCACGGCTCGTAGATTGCGCCCTGTGCCTCCTTCTCATTTGTTTCCTTCAGGCACCCTTCAAGGATCTCCTTCCTGTAGACAGTCCTGATGAAACGAGACTAACTGAACTCCCCTTAGCTGCAAGTGCTCAGAGTCGTTGAGAGATATGGCAGTGGATCAAAACAGGGGGGCCCTGGTTGACCACCTTTTTAAGGGGTATCGAACGGGTACCGAAGAGGATGAAGAGGTACCTGTGAGTGGCTCAAGACCCGCCAATCGCAGCTGAACGCTGTCGAGTTCTCCAAAGCCCGGATTTCGGTCCTGACCCCAGGAAAGGAAGGAGAATCCATCTCCTGCGAATCAGGTGTAGTTGAGAAGCAATGATGTCTCAAAGCAGCGGCAGATCTCCAATACTTTGATCAATCTCCTCTTCGTAAACTTCTTTGTCTTCGAAAACAAAGTGCGCACCAGCAGCGCTCATTCCCAGAAGATCCTGCTGACATGGTCTCGGCACTCGTTTTGAAGCCAAACAAAGACAGAGGGTGTCTTGTGAAGCTTTCAATGGTCGCCCTTAGCTGGGTCATTGCAACCCCTGCCGACTTTCTGTTCATGTCCATCATGTCCTTCTGGTTGAAGAATCTTGAGAGTTGCACTATGTTTCACATGCGTGAGCATCAGCTGCACTCCTTCATGATGCGGATGGCCGTCTCCTCGTACATTGCTAGTCATTCTGCATGCTTTCGAATTCACTTGGTGCGTCAACTCCTCTCTAGTCAGTCTGACTATGTCTGACTCTTGCTCGCGACCAAAGGGACTCATCTTTGTTCTGTAAAGAAGCCAGACCTGGCTGTTCTCGTGAGGGAGCTTCTTACTGCCAGGCAGTCGGGTTGCACTCCTCCTGCAGGCAAATCGAAAGCAAGGCAGGAAGGAAAGTTCTTTAAATGTGCATGGTTTTAATTTGTTTTGTTTCTAATATAGCAATGGCCTCCAACCTAAGAGCCATGGCCTCCAACCTAGTAATCTAGTAGCGTTCTTTTGCTGACCAGCGACTGGGCCCCTCAGTGAGAACACTCCTTCGACCATCGGGATACTGCTCCGCCACTTCAATCAGCAAACGATCCTTCCATTGCAAGGGAAGGCGCGTGATGCAACCAATGCGTTTGAACAGCGAAGGCATTGCTTCCTTTGTTTTGGCGTCATGCAATGACTCTACTCGTCTCACAGTTACATCAAGTTCCCACACCGGCTGCGCCTTCTTTTGAGACGAGTAGAGTCTCAAGAGGACTACGTCAACGACACGAACCTGGATCGAAGTCACAACAAGCATGTCCAAACTCAAACAGCATCAGGAATTTGTCTGACGTCTGCTGGTTACGTGATGCTTTCCTCTTTCAATACAGTGGTGCATGTGACTCACCCCTCTGAGAGCTTAACCAACTTCTTGTGAGTCGTGGCATCCAACATGAGACGGGCTGATCCGTTCTGCACCTGTGTCGTCCACTCTGAGCAACAACACGAACCCCTTTGACCAACCCGGAAATGTAGAGCTTTGCCACGAGGAAACCAATGCCCAACGAAAAACACGGCATTCACACAGAAAACGTATAACAAAGTCGGGGTGTCAAGCACATGTTCGTGCTCATACAATACATGAAACGTGGGCAATTCTGTCTTAGGTCCTGAACTCTCTTGTATGTTGTTGTGACTATTGTCCTGTCTCGCGCACTGAGCTTGATCAGGTGACTTGAGTACGTTCTGCAGGGCATGTTGCAAGCATTGTGTCAAAATCAACAACAGTTGCAGCATCAACTAACCGCCCAACCAATCTGTGTGCCTACATGGGAACCAGCCAAGAGTAGTTCTGGAAGATAACAAGAAGCTAGTAGTAACAAGTGCCTTACTAGTAGTAACAGGTGCCTTACTAGTAGTAACAAGAAGCTAGTAGTAACAAGTGCCTTACTAGTAGTAACAGGTGCCTTACTAGTAGTAATAAGAAGCTAGTAGTAACAAGTGCCTTACTAGTAGTAACAAGAAGCTA